GTTACACATCAGAGAGTTGGACAATGACTAGGGAGGATAGAAGGAGAATTCATGCCTTTGAGCTGTGGTGCTGGGGAAGAGTATTGAATGTACCATGGACTGCCAAGAAAACAAATAGATTCCTCCTGGTGAGGTTTAAACGAGGCTACACCTTGGAGGCAAGGATTCTGGGGCTTCATCTGACATAATTTGGACATGTTGTAGGGAGGGACAGGTCCTTGGAGAGGGACATCATGCTTGGGAAGGTGGAGGGACAGTGCAAGAGGGTAAGAGCCTCTATGAGATGGATTGATTCAGTGACTGGGGTAATCAGGATGGGTGTGTCAGAGGCAGTGCGATTTGCACTGGATAGAGCAGGGTTTAAGGCTGTTGTATGTAGGGTTGCTATGAGTCACAAGCTACTCGACGGCACATAACAACAACAACAACAGAATTCTATTGGGTTATAATGAAATAAAAAAGTTTCTTGAAAAAATAATCATGAAAATGCAACATTCCAAAATCTCTGGGATACAGCTAAGGCAGTACTCAAGGGACAGTTCAAAGCAATAGGCAAACACATAAAACACAAAGAAAGAAGCAAAATTAATGACCTCAATCAACACCTCTATGAAATAGAAAAATAATCTAACCTCATAACCTTTTCAAGAAAGGAATTTATAAAAACAAGAGCTGAAATCAGTGAGATAGGAAACAGAAAAATAATTGGAATCATCTAAAAGACCAGGAACTGGTTCTTTGTAAAGGGTCAATAAAATAGACAAACCATTGGCAAACTTAACAAAAGAAAAGGTGGGGAAAAGACACAAATAATTCAAAAGAGAAATGATAGAGGAAATATCACAACAGAATTAGATGGAAGTAACTGAATAATATCAGAATATCACAAAAATCTATACTCCAGTAAATTTAGAAACCTAGAGAAAATAGACAAATTACTTGAAACTCACCCTCCACCCAGATTGACACAGACAGATATAGAACACTTGAACAGAACCATCAAAAAGGGGGGGGGGGAGCAGCCCATAAAGAGACACCCTGCCCCCAAAAAAGGCCTGGCCCAGATGGCATCATAGCTAAATTTTACTAAACATTCAAGATATATATAGCCAATTCTACTTACTTTACCTCAAAACACAGAAAAAGAAGGAATAGTTCCAGAGTCATTCTAAGAAGGAAGCATAATAACCCTAATACCAAAACCAGGTAGACATAAAAAAAAGAAAGCTACAGACTAATATCTCTCATAAATACAGATGCAAAAATCCTTAACTTAATCCTGCAATAGAACACAATACATAAAAAAATAAGTCATCATGACCAATCATATATGATTGAATCATATGAATCAAGTGGGAATCATAACAGGTATTCAAGGTGGTTCAACACATGAAAAACAATCAACCTAATTCATTATATTAAAAAGTAAAGAGTAAGAAGAAGCATTTTATCTTATCAATTGATGCAGAAAAGTCCTTTGACAAAATGCACCATTTCTTGATTGAAACAGCACAATAGGAATAGAAAGGAATGTCCTCAACATAGTAAAAAGAATATGTACAAAACCAATAGCCAACATCATTCCCAATGGACAAAGACTAAAGGTATTTTCATTGCAAATAGGGCCCAGACGAAGATGCCACTGTCACCACTCCTATTCAATATTGTATTTGAAGTACTCGGTAGGACGATACTATGAAAAAAAGGAAATAGGAGGTATGCAGATTGGTAAAGAGATGGCAAAATTATCACTATATGCAGATGATATGATAACATACACAGAAAACCCCAAGGACTCAACAAAAAAACCTGTTAGGCCTAGAAGACCAATTTACTAGAGTGTCACAATACAAGAGCAATATACAAAAAATTAGTGAGATTCCTCTATAGTAACAAAGCAATAACAGATAAATTACGAAAGCAATACCTTTACAGTAACCAACCACAAATTGAGTTACTTGGAAATAAAGTCAACTAGAGACTCAAACACTGCTGTAAGAAACAATGAGACCTAAGTTTAAAAAAAAAATTCTCTGTTTATGAATGTTTTTATTATGTGTTGTCAAATCATATGCAATTCATAGTGACTCTTTGCACAGTAACTCTGAACTCTGTCCTATCCTGAGTCAATCTCATTCTCTCCAATACATTTTCTCCTCTTATGCTGTCTCTCCACCCTTCCAAGCATGATATCCTTCTCCAAGGACTGGTCTCTACTGACAACATGCCCAAAGTATGTCAGATGAACCCGCAAAATCTTTGCCTCCAAGGTGCAACTTAGTTTCATCCTCTCTAGGACAAAACTGTTCATTCCCTTGGGAGTCAATGGTGTATGGTCAATACTCTTCTCTAGCACCACAACTCAAAGTCATCATTTTTACTCCTGCAATCCGTAGTCATTGTCCAGAAGAAATTAGGAAAGATCCAGTGGGGACTTGAAAAGACAATTTTTATTATAAAGGTCAATTATTATTTATTTTGTAGAACACAATGTGTGAGAATCATATGAAATAATGTATATAAATGAAACACAATGTATGCAAATTTTGTATGCAAACCATATAAAACAAAAAGAAATATAGCTGTGAATCTAATTCTAATATCTTATTTTTAAATTATATCTTAGCCCAATTTCCTCCAGATACAAATATTGAAATATAAGGAAAACACAAGTTACATTTTATCAGTAAGGAAGTGGTCAGAGAAGACAGAGCTGTAAATTTTACTTCAGATATAGAGAAGATTGCATAAAAAGAAAAGTGTTACTTATAACAATCACTTATGGAGCAAATAAGGGATAAGTGTCTGAAGACAAGGTGTGAGGTGAGGAAAAACACTCAATAATTACACTCAATTATAATATTAACTGAGAAAACCTAGTATCCTAGTTATGATGAGAATTTGCAAAGAAATGAAAACAAAATATTAGCAATAAATTATTTTAAAAGTATCAATTATTTACATTTCTCTGTATCTTATATGTAATTTTTGTTGTGTACTGCCAAGATGGAACTAACGCACAGCTGACCCTCTGACAGGTTTCCAGAGGCAATAGATTAATTGTATAGGAGGAGATTGCCTTTCTTTCTCCATGGAGCATCTTGTGGATCTGAACCAAGTTCTTTTGTGTTGCCCATGCAACTCCTTACTATTAAGCCACCAGAGTTATCAGGCAATGTCTTTCTAATAAAAAAATGTAACAAATGCTATTTTTGAAAGCCCAAAGTTAAAAATATGTCCCTAATTGGGATTTTGAAAGCAAAATCTTGCTAAAGATTACCAAAAAGTGACTAGAAGAGTACATCAGATACAGAAAACTGCCAGAAATACAAGCTGGATTTAGAAGAGGCTGTGGCACTAGGAATATCATTGGTAATGTTAGTTGGATCACTGTCAAAAGTAGAGAGTATCAGAAGGATGTCTATTTGTGTTTGATCAACTATTCAAAGGGATCTGACTAGGTGGATCACAACAAATTGTAGCTAATGTTGAGAAGAATGGGAATCCCAGAATACTTGACTGTGCTCATGCAAAACCTGTACCTAGACCAAGAAGCAAGAGAACACTGCATGCTTCAAAATCAAGAAAGTAGTGTGTTAAAGATGTATCTCTTTCTCCATTCCTTTTTCAATCCACATGTGGAATATGTTCTTCAGGAAGCTGGACGTTAAGAAAAAGAATGCAGCATCAGGTTTGGAGAAAGATTCATCAAAAACCTGTGTTATGCAGATGACACAACCTTGCTCACCAAAACTGAGGAAGACTTGAAGTCTTTATTGTAGAAAGTCAAAGACTGCAGCTTTCAATATGGATTGCATCTCTGTAAATTTTTTTTAAAAAATCTTTACCACTGGACCAACAGGCAGTAAAATGATAACTGGAGAAGGGACTGAAGTTGCTGATGATTTCATCTTGCTTGAATCCACAATCAAAATTCTTGGCACTAACGGTGAGAAAATAAAAAAGATAAGTTGCACTGGGAAAAATCTGATCTGAAGGATGTCTCCAAAGTGTGAAAGAACAATGATGTAAAAGTCTAGAGACTAAGGTGTGCATGTTCCAGGCCAGAGTTCTCAATTGCTTGCTATGCATCAGAGAGATTAACAATGAATAAAGATGACAGAAGAATTTATGCCTTTAAGTTGTGGTGCTAGAGAAGAGTACTGAACATACTATGGTCTGACAAGAGAACAAAGAGAGTGTGAAACCAGTTTGCTCACTGGAGGCAAGGATTTTGAAACTCTGTCTCACATACTTGGGGTATATCACCAGGAGGGACCAGTCCTTGGCAGATGATAATGTGTTTGGAAGGGTAGAGGGTTAGTGCAGAAGAGGAAGATCCTAGATGAGAATGATTGACACAGTGGCAACCACAGAACTACAGTAATGAGGTTAGGTGTGTCGGAGATGGTGAAGGTGGCTTAGGATAGGGCAAGGTAGAACTATTGTTCATAGGATCACTGTGGGTTATAGTCAACTCAATAACACAACAACAGGGATACTGACTTTCAGACTAGGAGATTATGCCTTGGAAAGGAGTCAGAAGAGAAAGCATAAATTCATCTTCAAAGCCTAAATAGAAAAAAAAATCACTAACTTTCCTTAAAGGTCCTTTAGGTTATATAAGCAGTTAGTAATTGATTGTAAACCTAAATGTCATTGATTTGGACCCATCCAGTTACACTGTGGAAAAAAAAGGCTTGACAATCTTCTTCCCTTAATATTACAACCAAGAAAACATGTTTGTCCTACTCTCTAAAATATGAGGTTGCCATGAGCCAGAATGAATTATAAAACTGACAAGAGTAAAAATGCAGGAAGCAACAAACAGCCAGCAAGTTCTCTAGATTTTTCATCTTGAACAGAAACTTCTTATTTTATAATTTGCTTTCTACTTGTAGGCATATCAGACAACTTCTGAACTTGAAGCCCTGCCATAGAAGAGGTGAACAGTCCAGGGTTTGAGTATTGGCTGCAGGTGCTTGGGAAACACTGTGTACTTGCTGCACAGAAATACACAGCTGAGTCTCCATGCTGGGCACCTGGGATGTGAAGAGAGACATGTTTGGCTGTCTTATTTAACAAAACAATGAGTCCTTGGCCTTCATTTTTGTTCATATTTGAGCGAAGAGCTATGATGAGTTGGAGATCTTTTCCAGGTTCTTTCTTATACCAAGGAAAGTAGGACGAGGCACTGTCTGAATAAGTACAGTTGATAACTGCGCTGCTTCCCTCCAAAACACTCAAAGTAGAAGGGTGCTGCTCTACATTCTCTCCTTGGCACATCCCTATGAAAGAGTAAAAAGAGAAGAAGAAGGTCATAGTGTAATTAATTTAAATTTTAATAATAATTACAGTAAATCTGAATAAAGACACTCTTCTTAGATTTCTAATGAATACTCCCTTATACACTGTGTTCCTCCATGACCTCAACTCACAGTTCAGCTGTAGCCACAGAAACATGAACAAAGCTTGAAAGGATGTCTTCATTGTTCCTCACAATTAAGATCAACCGCAGACCTGCAATCTTCAGCCAAGAGAGGGACCTCTGTTATCAGGTTGTCCTTTCTTCTCTATAACAATTGCAGTGGTTTTTCACATTGACTAACCAGCCAATGAGCAAGGCTCTGCTTCTGCTCTGATTTTATTCATTCAGAAGACACTAAAATGAGCCTTCAGAAGAGATTTAATGCCATCTTGTGGTCACATCCCCAACTACTGAACTAGATGTTTAAATACTCTTCCATTTCCCTGTGCTTGCCAGGCATCCAGTTGCATGAAAACAGCAATAGTTCAAACAAATTAGGCTTTAGATTAGATACTAAATGTACAGAAAAACGTAGCAATCATATTTCACACTGCTAAATCATTGTTAATAGATTCTAAATAGGTCTGTGCTGTCAGTATTTTTTTATTAATGGTCTGAATATGCATGTTTGAAATCAGAAAAACATCATGATTCATTCTACCATACAAAGAAAGAATATCTTCTCCCCTCAACCAAAAAACCCTTGCATCATGCATAACATATAAAGCTGCCAACTGAAAGGTAGACAGTTGGAACCCATTAGCTACATTATTGGAGACAGATGGGCAATCTCTTACCATATAGATTTGGAGCCTTAGAAAACCTATAGAGGGCCACTATCAGACCACACTGACTCAACTGCAAGGAATCTTCTCAACCAAATCAATCATTCTGATTTAGCAATCATTGTTAACTTGTTATATACCATCAAGTCAGAACTGAGCCTAGTTGATTCTCCAGTGGGTTTTCAAAGGCAATAAAAGGCACAAGAGTAGTTGCCACAGAGAGGAGATTTCTACCACAGAGTAGCTGGTGGATTTGAACTACGTGCCTCAGGGATGGCAGTACAATTTATTACTACTAAACCACCATACAAACCTCTTCCTAAAAGAAGAATACAAGTCAAAGATCAGAATGGAAGTCTACTCAATGTTTCAGTACATGCATTTGTTGTCATCAAGTTGAGTATGACTCAAAGTGACCCTATGAACAATAGATCTGAACCCTATCCTATTCGGTGCCATCTTCATCATCTCTGACACATTTGAGTTCACTGTCAAACCCGTTCTTGAGATTATTTTTACATTTAAGTGAGATAGCCTCAAGGTCATATTTTCATTCTTGTGAACTTGTTTTTTCTTCAACCTCAGTTTTAACTTGCACATGAGTAATTGATGGTCTGTTCCACAGTCAGCACCTGGCTTGTTTTTCATTGCTGTTGTTGAGCTTCTCCAAGGAATCTTTCCACAGATATAGTCAATCTGATGCCTATAGAGTTCATCAGATGAAGCCAATATGTACAGTCTCTCTCTGTGTTTCTTAAAAAAAAAAAGGTATTTGAGATTAATAAATCATTGAATTCATGAAATTCAATAATTCATTCTCCAGCCTAATTTCCGTCACCACGCTCTGGGCCTTCTCCCAAAGAGCCTGTTGCTGCTAGGACCTAAAGCCAAAAGGACCCAGTGGAGGGGTCAACAGGGCCCTGGTTCCAGGAGCTTGCCAATGGGCATCAGGCAGGACACTGTCTTTTCATGATATTCCTATGGCTGGTTGTTTTTATGGTTTGCAGGAGGTACAAACTTATCTGTCCCTTCATTCTATTAATGCAGGGATTTACATGTTGCTACTTATGGATCCAAGTGTGTCAAAGACTGTGAGAATGGCACAGGATGGGGGAGGATTCAGATGTGTTGTCCACAGGGTTGTTCATGACACTATGGCATCTCCTAACAACTCGTGGCCTAGAGGCAGCTCTGAAGGACTACGGGTGAGAAGCTGTGTTGCATTCCAAAGGCAAGTGGTTTGAATACACCAGCTGCTCCAATCTCCTCCTGAGCAATTTACTTTATCTGAAAACCTGCTGGAGGTCAGCTCTGGGCCAGTTCCTACTATTTGACACACAACAGTAACAACTTAGTTGTTGCCTAATGGTAAAGAACTGTACTGAGAAGCTGAAGTCATGCTGTTCACATCCACCAGCTCCTCCCGTGCGATATATTGCCTTTGAGAACTCACGGAATAGTCAACTATGGGGAAGTTCCAACTTGAGGGAGCATAACAACAGCAACAACAAAAACAACTTATTTTATAGCTTAGGTATGTACATGCTTGTTTGTTGTTTGCTCTTCTCAGTAAAGTTCTGGTCTATCAGTTTACTATAATGTGGTAAATTGTGAATCTGATGCTAGAGTTTATGACACCAATGTTTCAAACGTCAGCAGTGTCACCCATGGTGGACAAGATTCAGCAAAACTCCCAGATTAAGACAGACTAGGAAGCAGGATTTACCATCTGCTTCCAATATATCAGGGCTTCCAAAATCCTGTGAACAAGAGGAACACAGGTAACTATAGTATTAGAGTTAGAGCAAAAGGGGAAGTTACTAAAAAGATGAGGAGAAATTGCTACAATCAATCATTAATAATTGAAAAGTGGAATGTATGAAGCATGAATGTAGGCAAAGTGAAAGTGGTAAAAAACTAAGTGGAACTCAAAGATAGATATTTTTGGTATTAGTGAGCTGAAATGGTCTGGCACTGGACACTTTTAATCAGATGAACATATGATCTACTTTGCCCAGAATGAGAGGTTGAAGAATGGTGTTGCATTTATAGTTGAAAAGACAATTGCAAGATCTATCCTGAAGAACAATAATGTTAGTGATAGGATATTATCCATTCATGTAAAAGGAAGACCTTTTAATACAATTATTATCCAAATAAATGCACCAAAACCTAAGATGAGGAATTCTACAAAGTTTTTCAGTCCAAAATTGATGAAATATTCAGTCAAGATACATTAATAGTAATTGGTGATTGGAATGCAAAAGTTGGAAACAAATTAGATGCAATGATAGTTGTAAATTATTGGCTTTGTGACATTATCTTATACCCTTCTTATATTAATCTGATCTTGCTTATGATATTATTTTTCCTAGCAACTTGATATCAACTATCAAAATATTAAACCTTCTGTCAGCAAAACTAACCTTGCTAGGGAGTGAAAGCTCAAATCTTAGTTAAAAGGGAAGTAGAGGAATAAATTCCATGAGATAACAATATTCCAATCACAGAAAAACATTCAACCTGTAAATTTTGTTAATTTGTTATGAGAAACTTGATATAAATGTAACTCATACATTGCTAAGTATTGAAAACAGCAGGAGATAGTATTAGAAGGAGAGCCCAGATTGGAAGTCAACACATGAAATGAGGAAAATAGTGGTGAACATCCTTTAATATTTAGAACATGGAATATATGAAACATAAATTTTGAAAACTAGAAGTTGTGAAAAATTAAATGGAACAAATGAACAATGACATTCTAGTTGTCAGTGAGATGAGATGAAATGGACTAGTTTTGGTCACCTTAAATCAGAAGAAAGGTGTTAAAAAGTCAAAAAGTTAATACAATTTTAAAAGTTAAAAATAAAAGTTAAAAGTCAAAAAGTGAATTTCAAGTTCTATCCTTAAGCACAAGGTTGTGATTGGATTTGTCCATATGCATACAAGGAAGACCTGCTAAATATGACTATTATTCAAATACATACTTCTACAGCTAGAGCCAAAGAGAAGTAAATTGAAAATTTTGACCAAATTTTGCAGTCCAAAATTGACCAAACATGTAATCAAGATGCATTGATGATAATTGGTGACTGGAGCACAAAAGTTGGAAATAATGAAGAAAGAATAATAGTAGGAAAGAACAGACTTGGTGACATAAATGAGGATGGAAATAGAATAATAGAATTTTGTATTTCCAGTGATTTATTCATTGCAAATACCTTTTTAAAAAACACAAATGGCAACTTTACAGTCCTAACGGATTGCATAGGAATCAGATTGACTACATCTGTGGAAGGAATTGTTGAAGCAGTTCAATATCAGCAGTCAGAACTAGGCCAGGGTGAACTTTGGGAAAGCCATCAATTACTCATGTGCAAGTTCAAACTGAGGGTGAAGAAAATTAAAACGGGGCCATGAAAACCAAAATATGATCTTGAATCTATTCAACCTGAATTTCAAAATCATCTTAAGAATTGGTTTGAAGCATTGAACACCAATGATCAAAGACCAAATGAGTTGTGGGATGATAGTAAGGATATCATCTGTGAAGAGAACAAAAGACTATTACAAAGACAAAAAAGAAAGGTAAAACCCTGAAATAAATGTCAGAAGAGCCTCTGAAAATTGTACAAGAGCATCAAGAAGCGAAGACAAAGGGAAAACATGCTCAAGTAAAATTGCTGAACAGAAGAGGTCAAAGGGCAGCTAGAGAAGAGATAGCAAAACATTATAATGAAAAGTGCAGGGAGTTGGAATTGGAGAATAAAAAGAAAAGAATTCACACTGCATTTCTTAAGCTGAGAGAACTGAAAAACAAATCTGAGCCTCAAGTTGCAATACTGAAGGATGCTATGGGAAAAATCTTGAATGATCCAGGAAGCATCAAAAGGTGATAGAGGGAATACAAGAGTCACTGTACCGGAAAGAACTGATTGACACTGAAAAATTTCAAAAAGTACCATATGATCAGGAGCCAATGGAAATAAAGGAGGAAGTTGAAGCTGCATTGAGGGCATTGTCAAATAATTAAGGCTCTGAAGTTGGGATACTAATTGATTTGTTTCAATTAATAGATGTAGATCTGGATGTGTTCACCATTGTGTGCTAGGAAACTTGGAGGACAGCTGTCTAGTCAACGGATTGGAAGAGGTTCATATTTGTTCCTAATTCCAAGAAAGGTGATCCAACTTCATGGGTAAATTATCAAACAATACCATCAATATCATATGCAAGCAAAATACTGCTGACAGTCAGTTAAAAATGGATAGAAGAGTACATAGAGAGGGAACTGCCAGAAGTTCAAGCAATATTTAGAAGCCAATGCACCAAGGATATCACTGCTGATGTCAGATGGATCCTGGCTGAAAGTAAAGAATACCAGAAGAGTATCTCTT